TCGGGGAGCTGGTGCTCGTGGGATAGTACCAGACCCTCATTCATAGCGCAATGGGCTTGGAGTTCGGCTCCAAATTCAAGTGCGCTACATTTGGTATCAGAGAAATTGTCTCAGTGATTCCTATCCAACTTTTGTCGGAAGTTGCATACGCAGAGACTTTTTTAATAGATCCGAAGCAACCTGTGTAGGATTAGTTGGATTGCACCATTCAGTAAGAACGTTATATGCATGCTCAGTTACTGATAGAGGCATGTATGTAGCTAGCGGGATGGTGAAAAGGAACCGTGCTGATGACATTGAAACCTCTAGACGGGAGAATCAAGAGGAGGAAACTCCTGCTAGAGATGCTGTGGAAGAGGCTGAGGCCGAGTTAGAAGAGGAAGAGCTAGATGCTATGGCATTGCAGCGTATGGCTCAAGAAGTTGAGATCGAGAATTTGCGAAAGGAGATTTGCAAATTGAAGAAAGAGAACAAGAAGAAGAAGAAAGAAGCTAAGGCAGCTAAACCAGCTATGCCTAAACAACCGAACTCCTTTTCAAGTTCTAAAGATGATGAAGTTCTGCAGCCGCCCCCGATTGCACGAGTTTTAAAGTTCAAGCCCCCGAAACCACCTAATTTTAGAGGCATGCGGGACTATTAGGTTTTGGAAGACTGGGTCTACGATATAGAAAACTATTTCATAGCGGTATACGTAGATGATCATACGAAAGTTGTGTGCGTGCAATCCTTTCTTACTGATCATGCCAAAACTTGGTGGCGCCAAGTGTGTGCTAAAAAAGGGCAGACTAGAAGCTAGACCAAGATGCGGTCTCGCATCCGTAAGGAATACTTGCCGGATGATCTTGGTCTGAGACTTCGCGCAGAGCTGCGGCAGTTAAAGCAGTGAGGGGACCTCATGCATTACGTCAATGCGTTTGCTCAGAAGCACATTATGATTGCAAATATGAGTGACGAAGATGCTCGAAGTTATTTCCTGGAAAGTTTAAGTTCACTTTCTCACAATGAGATTTTGAAGTTTAAGCCAAAGACGTGCCTGGAGTGTAAGGAGGCAGCACAGCAAGTTGCCTTTAGTCACTCACTCATGGAACAATATCAGCAATCGTATGCTGGTAACTCGGATAAGAATAAAGGGAATAAACAAGGTGATTAGAAACAGAGAGTGGAAGGCAAGTTCCGCTCTAGAGGCTCACAAGCAACAGTTAACAAAGGTGGTGGTGGTTGGAGACCACCAGCAACTTCTTCTGGTCCTAGGCCCTTTGTTCCTCCTCCTGGTGGGTACAAGCAGTAGCAACCTGCAAAACCTGCTCCTAGCAGAATGGGTAGTGTGGGTCATTGCTTCCATTGTGGAGAGTCGGGATATAAGTCCTCGGAATGTCCCAACAAGTATAAGACAAGGTTTTGTGTTAATGTTATGAGGAAAGATGGTGGAGGTGAAGTCGAAGGGGTTGACGAGTTGGTCATATGCAAACTATGAGGAAGAGGAGGTGAGTAACTTTCGTTGCTTTCCTCAAGCTTTTCTTGCAGTCAATGCAAACACTGATCTGTTGATGTATCTGGTAGGCTTTGTCCGTGGATACCGAATCCGAGAGATGATTGACACGGGAGCTACGCACAGCGTGATATCCGAAGACTTAGTTAATTTGTTAGGATTGAATGCTGAGCAAATGTCGCCTATGCACTTCTGGTTTACGGAAGGTGGGCAAGTATCTAGAAAGTTTGTGAGTGATGTTCTAATAAAGATATCCAAGTGGAAAGAAAGAGTGGACTTGGTAGTGTTGAAGATACTAGATTTTCAGATGGTGTTTGGTATGGATTTCTTCAACAAGTATATAAAAGGGATTTATGGTGCTGGATAAAGTCGTATTACATTGAAGTCAGAAGGACGTCCCGATGTGTCCTTTTAGTTGCAAAAGTGTTCCTCAAAGAATTGGGATGCAAAGTTCCTGACTGCAAGGGCCGCTCAAAAAGCAGCTAAGAGGGGATGTCAGACATTTTGGGTTCAAGTGATGGAAGCTGAGGGTATTGGTGACTCAGTTCGAATCGGCGATGGGGTTGATCTTATACCAATGAAGATATTGGAATTGTTGGCACGGAATCAGGATATCTTCTTGAAGGATTTGCCACCAGGGCTATCTCCTAGCCGTGAGGTTGATAATCGGATTGAGGTTATTCCGGGTTCTAAACCACCTACA